AATGATGTTTTACCTGTAGTACAACTGCAGTGGACGATAGTGCAAGGCCATTCCCAATGACAATTGAAGCAGGACCAGGCTGTCCAGCAACAAAATGAGCAACCAAGCCCACCACTGCAGCTGTCGCCAAGACCTGAATTCACGTAAAAAGTTTTGAACTTATAAACCATACTTTTTGACCGAATCAAAAGGTCGCTCTCTGGTGCAAATCGTTGAAATACATGAGATTAAGAAATTTTTTGTTACCTGAGCAGAACCCAATCCAAAAACATATTTCTTCATTGAACTCAGTCTTTCAACTGAGAGCTGTCAAAAATACAGTTACAGGATAATTCTCTTGGCCGTAGTGATATAAATGTTGTAATGAATGTTTCTAAAATTAAAATTTGAAAATTCTATTATTCAACCTCAAGCCCAATATTAAATAGCAAGAAAACCACTCCAAATTCAGCTATTGCTTTAGTCCCGTGTACATGACGGATAATAGAAACACCGTATGGTCCAATTAAGATTCCAGCAGCCAAATATCCAAGAACTGGACTGCCTACATATTGCAGTGGAAAGAAGATGGGTAAGCAGTAGGAAATAAGGAACACAAATAAAAAAAGTGCAATACATGCATGGAATTGTGGCTGAATGTAATAACAGAATAAATGTGATAAGAAGATTAGTACATCAGTTGCGTGCAAGAAATTTTATTCGCTTTAATGAGAATATTAAAAGAACATAAGCAAACGCGCCTTCGCAAAACTACTATGTTGACGAAGTGTTGCATTGTAAAATAATGAATTAAAAACTTGGAAGTTCAGGGAAGGGGGAATAAATTTTACCTCCAGGAATTTTCTGAAAAATAGGCACAAATATAACACTTGCTAGCAATAACCACAGCATGTCAAAGAGGGAAGCTTCCTCCTCACTAATCTGAAAAGCATAAATAGCTCTATTAGGAAGAAAATATATGGAAACAAATACATGTCATATTATATGCATAAGAATAACATGCTTTGATTCAAACTAGACAACTGAAAATTGACTTGAACTCGTGCCTCTTGATGAGGAATCATCTCTGTTAGTTTTCTGACTTTCTGGGGAAATTCCCTTATTTGTCGCACCAGAGGCTTGGCACTAGTTGACACTTCATCAATACTTGTGGAGATGATGTCCAGCTGCTGAAATTGCTGAGCAAATCTTTCACGCCGATTGATATAAAAAGCAATTCTGTGATGAATTTCAGCAGCATATCAAAGATCAGCAATTTTTCAATCAGACTAAAAATTAATAGCACATTTTATGACATCGAAGTGAACCACTAAAAACATAACAGATGCATGACTATAACGTACTTTTGACAATAGTCTTAGAAAAATTTCAATAAAATAGTAAGCATACCCTGCTCCAATAAGTAGTGACCCAAACACCAATTTTGGCAATTGCTGCCTAGCAGACTCCACAAGACCACAGAAAACTGAAGATGGCGTGAATTCATCCTCATCTGCATTAAAAGAGAAGAATGATGCAGAAAAGAATCGCGATGATTTCTTCAGTAATGCTTTTGGCGCACTGAGAGGTGAACTCTCCCGTGTGGGTTCCTTTTGAATTTCCTGTTTTTTACTTTGAGCAGTTTTCAACTTTTCTCCATCTGCTTCGATTTTTGGCAATGGATCTAAAGTAAATTTTCCGTTCTCTTGGTCACTCTCATCTGACAGGCTCGACTCCTCGAATTGATTGTTTGGTAAAAGTTCAAGAAACTGGGCAACCTCTCCTGGCATCTCCCAATCTTTATCAACAAAGAGATCTGCTGAATTTGCTTCATTTACCTCCTCAACAGCAGAAGCCTCAACAGTAGTTTCTGCCACGTCAACATTGGAAATAGCAAGATTTTTCTCCACTCTTTGCAATGCCAGCTCAGCATCATTGACGCGTTGTGCAGCCTCAAGTTCATAAGCAACAGCTTGCTCTGCTAAAAGCATTATGTTTGCTACATCTTCTTCTGCCTTCAAAGCATTCATTTCTGCCTGCTGTGCAGCCCCATTCAACCTGTCCACTTCCTTTTGCAATTCTTCTTTCCTGTATTTCACCCTTCTTAGTTCAGTCTCACAAATTTCTAACTGATTTCGACAATCACTTATGTCCTCCTGAGCCGTTAAGAGTGCTTTCTCCTCTTCGCTCAATAAACTTGATTCTTCCCCTCTATTTTCATATTTTAAAGTGCTTTCTTTAGAAGCTCTTGGAGAACCATTCTTTTCTTTTGCAATTTCCAATGAATCAACTGCAACTTGGAGTCTTGACTCAGCCAAAGAAAGGGACATTGTTGCTTTCTGAACACCTTCTTTAGCCACAGCCTCTTCTTTTACAATCTCTTGAACATTGCTAAGGGCAGTATTAGCAACATTCCTAGCATTTGCTGCATCATCCTTCAATGCTATGGCAGCTTCTGAAATCTTCTGGGCTTTTTCCTCAAACAATTTACTGTTAAGCTGTGCAACTTCCAAATCCTTCAATGCCTTCTGCAACAATTCCCTCAATTCATCCAAACTAGGAGGCTCAACTTCTTCTATTTTATCTTCCTCGAATGCTTCTTTTGAACCACTGGACTCGAGGCTAACCTCATTATTACCACTTTCAAATATTTCTACATCTCTACCATTGCCATTTATATAAGATAATGAGTCATTTCCCTGACAACGCAACAGACCTGAATGCTTTGACAATTTAAAAGTATTGCCATGGTTATACATTAAAGAATCATCATAACCATAACACCATAACTGATTGATAAGTATTCTCGGACTGAAGGTACTACCACAATATGCATTATATTTTTTCAACTTCTTTGAGGAATGTGCTTTTGACACTGGCCTTGGATTACCAATAACTTTCCAGTGCAAACCGTTACACTTCAAGCCCGTAGTTAAATTCAATTGTTTCAGTTCCCTGCAACTTGCACCTTTGCCACTAGGAATTACATTGGGCTGGTATATACTATATGCAAAGTCCATTAATTCCCGCCTTCTATGATTCAGAATGCATACCCATCAAACACATTCCAAAACACATTTAATATTCCCAAGCTCACTAGTTTCAGATCAACCTAAAAGAAAAAAAATAAATAAATAAAGGAAAACAAATGTAAAACTCCCTTAGACTATCATTCATCAATTAATCAATTACATCTATGGTATTTATAGATGTTAATGTGATGCCATTGGATAGAATCCACCATATTTTTCCACATTCACATATATGAATATACGTCCATACTTCACAATCAAAATATACATACACACACTCATACAACAGTGTAGAAAGATATCCAAATTTCTATAATTTTAACCATAGCAGTGCATGAGTGTATCTATAATAAACTACCTACTTACACAGATATAACTATATAGACACAATCAACATGGTCAACGACTGATTTACAGCTCCGACTACTTGTTTAAACTCTATTGACTTCATATCAAATATTTTGCAATTAATCAAACTTTCCTACTTTTAACTCCTAAGTAAAGAAAATCAACGCCATCACTTATTAAAATGCACATATGAACATATTATATATACACAATATATTCGATTATATGCCGAAATGATTGAAAATCAGAAAACAGAGAGTACAGCTTACCGATTAAGCCGTGAAATTTAATAGACCTTGGAAAATTGGAGGCGGAAATTCTAAGGTACAAAAATTAAGAGAGAGAAAGTGACGGAACTGGTAACGGAGTGAATGGAGATTCGAGCTTTAGCTTGTCCGTACAAATGGCAGGTTTATTGCCGTCCCTTCACAATTCTCCTTTCGTTTTGAAATAAGGGCGTGTTTGCCAGTCGTTATAAAAGAAGGCTATTTGGCAATTCGGCATGGATAACTTGTTAAAGAAATGAAATGCGTGGAGCCCGTGAACCGTTAGTTATAATTTGTTTTCACTTTTTAGTGTAATTTACAGTACCATTCCGTTTGGACTAAAATTTTATTTTAATTAAGTCAAAGTGAAACATTAATATCAACCGTATTTCCTGAATTTCATGACTTTTCAACCACACATTTTAAAAATTTCTATCACAATCTACTAAAAAATCTAATTTTAATCCCCATCAAATACTCTCTTAATTTTGACATACGATTTCGTCATTAACCCAAAAAAAGCAACAAGAATGATATTAATACAAAGGCCCCTGAACAATCACATATTATCACTTTGATACCCAATACTATGGTTCGTCTATCAATTGACCCCCAAGGTAGAGCTCTAGTGGGCTTTAGCTGGGCCGACACTTCAATATAGTAAGTCCAAGTCCAAATTGGCCCAACCTACTAGATTTTGCATTTGTCTAGTTCCCTGTTGACATTGAATATTCCATTTGAATGAGCGAATATTATTACAATTTGGGGGAAAAAATGATTGAGAGCTGCTTTTTCATTCCTTCAAACTTGATATTTGGGATGGAAAAAGTAGATATTTTATTTTTTGACGTTTATCTTGGAGTTTATTTTCCTTTTCCCCCTATACTTTTGTGAAACTATAAACGCTAAAACTGTAAACATGTGTGATGTGTTTCGTTCGTTACATTTACTTGCACAAAGAAAAAAAGTTAAAATTCTATTAATTAAACTGGAACCCATTATTGTTTACCAAATGCGCCACGAAGAACAATGCTTCAATGCACGAGAGTTTGCTTGATTATACTTCATCAAATGTATCAAACTTGATAAAGCGGCCTACAACTTTGCATATATGGCTATTGTTTTACTACATGTTCTTCGGATTCTTGTCCCTTTTTATATTTACTCATTCATAGTGATGATTTACATGGATCTACTTTTCATTCCATTTCTAGAAATTTGATGATCCATAAATCTGACGATCAACCCATTTTACGGAATTGACAACGCCCACCCAATTCTATTTATTTGCTACAACATGTGATATTTTAGCCATTTGCATCAAGTTCATACTTCCTTCTTGCCCGTCTTGGCATAGAACACAATAACAACAAATTACTGTACAAGGTATTCTTGTGAATTAAATAGTAAATGCACAACCTCTTGAACATGCTTACAGTTTCCAAACAAAATGTGAACATACATCAAAAGAAAATAGTTTTTACCTTGTAAACTGTAGTGAATTAAGAACTGCTCCAAAAAGAAGAAAAGAAGAAACTCAGAAACATAGCAAGAAACCCGAATTCAGACAAACTGTTAATAATAGTTAAGATCGTTCTTGTGTCTTGACAGGATCTGGTTCAGGTTCATGTCCTGCTGCCTCTTCCTCTGGCTTCTCGGCCTCGACCTCGACCACGACGTCCAACTCCTTGGACGTAGTACTCCTTTTATGAGCAGCCTTGATATGCTGGAAATTTCCTTTCTCCAGGAAAAGCTGCTGAAAATGGTGCTTGCAGTACAGAATTCCATCAAGAGCAGCATAAGATGAGTGTGTAAGGGGGCAACCACCATGTGCACACTTGAAGCAAGATTTGTGGTATGATTCTCCCTCCATTGTCATCTGTTACCCGAGACGACTAGAATTTCAGGAAATTAACTTAGTATTAGGCTATTTTAGAATAGAGTTTATTTTTCTGAACACAAACCTTCTCCAATGGGTAAACAGTTTTGTTACAGGCAGAGCATTTATCTTGAGTTCCAGAGAACATGGCAGAAACCTTGCTTGGGGCCCTTGTCTGCACAAATCATATGATGATTTTGATCAGATAATGTCAATCCATAATTTCAAAAGAAAGAATGGTGCATACCAATGAATTCTCCTTCTCTTGCTTTGCTGCTTAAAAGTTCACCAGAAGCCAAAATGATCATATCAGATGGAATGCATAACGACTAATAGTGCGACAACAACCAATTCAGGCAAGAGGGCTGCTTACGGGTTTGGAAATTCTTGCTAAAATTCCCTGATTCCTTGAAAAGTTGTTCGAAATGAGGCTTGCAGTAGAGGACTCCATCCATGGATGAGTAATTGCTCATCTGCCAAATGCAGAAGGAGGTTGTATAAATACATCACAGATGAAGATAAGGAAAAATCAGTTTTTCCAATTTTCTTGCACAATTACTCTATTTGAGTCGAAAATATGCAGAGGCCTAGTTTTAAATTATATGAGACAGTTACTAGTTCAAATTTGTCTCAAATGCATAACAAAAACATTATTTCCATTGAAAAAGTACAGGATAAAGAAACAGAAAAGTCGAGCACACAAATGCTAAAATACGCGTGCACGTTGGCACATAAACACACGAACATAAAACATCTGAAAAAGGTATATATACCACAAGGGTCCCTTTGCAATGGCTGCATTTGAAGCAGGATTTGTGAAAAGTTGCTCCATCTGCTGATAACAAGTCAACAAAATAAACAGTCTTATCACAATCCTTGCATTTATCCAAAGTTCCTGTGAATGCTACCATTATTTTCTTTTTCTATCCTTTTCAAGATGAAAATCTCAAGAATTTCTGAAGATTTTTTGTTTCTTTTTGGTTATATCAGCCAATAATAGAAATTTGATTTTTCTGCACTGGTGGAAAAGTTGAATTCTACTATTGGCAGATCCCATTATTATGAAGCTGTGAAGGATTATTAAATGCTGTGAAATTTGGATGTTTTCCGCTTAAAGTGGAGAGAAAATAGGCTAAGAATTTTACTCATTCCATGAAAAATGTGTTGAAGAGAAGGTTGAGGGAAAGTATTTTCTTTGCTATATTTGGAAGTTATATTTGTAAGTGTTGACACATAAAAATTCAGCCCAAATCGAACAGCCCAGAGAGTAAAGTCCAATTGGAGGATCCCCAAATCAGATAGCCCAAAGAACGAAATCCAATTGAACGAATCAAGGTGAAGGCCCAAATAAGGGGCCCAATAGTGCGGTAACGCCATCGCCCAAGTTTGCAAGTCGCTCAGAGTCTGAACGAATAGAGTGGCATACGGTCGCCCGGAGTCTCGCCCAAATCTTCAAGTCGCCCAAGGTATCAACAAATATAACGCATTATGATTATCAAGAAATGCAGTTATTGAGGCAGTTGCTAAAGTAACCTTATCACGTTCCACGACTCAAAGGGTTCAATCGAAAGCGGTTGAACGATGCAAGATAATGGCAGCAGTTAAAAGGACAGTTTCATGACAAAATGGCCACTACAAAGAGAGTGGGTAGTTATAGGGCGATCAAACAATTTTTTAGAGCAGTTAATCACAAAGGGATCGCCTATGAAGTATAAAAGA